GGCCCATGCATGCCAACATGTTGGTTTTTTATTTCTATTGTTTCATGCCACCATGTAGCTCAAGATATGCATTCGTGACGTATGATATTTGTTCTTTATTGAGGACTAGGACAAGAACAACCCCCCAAAGCCAACCCAATCTTGAATCTTCCCAAATCAGGAAACTGTTCTTCTTCTGGGTCTTTCTGCAGATCTTTCCTCCAATAGTCATGGAAGCCTCTTCAGTAAATGAACGACTCCAGTTTGGAAAGATGGGATATGGGTATGTTTCTTTCTTCTGGAATATTTATCCATTGAGGATTTATGTGGCTGTACTGATATATGATTTATGGGCTTTTCTGGTACATGGTTATGGTTCTGGTAGATGCAAGCACTACAGGAGGAGATGCAGGATTCGAGCTCCTTGCTGCAACGAGGTCTTCTCTTGTCGCCACTGTCACGATGAGGCTACGGTATTTTGATCTTCTATGCGTTACCCTCTTACCCCTGCTTTCTTGGTTTAAGCTAAAATACTTTATGCATCCACTTAACTGATTGTTTATTTCTTGTTTTTGCTTTATTTTTTTATTCTTCAGAGCATGTTGAGGAACCCTTTTGATAGACACGAGATTGTTCGACAAGACGTTAAACAAGTATGCCATTAGAAATCCCAAGTTCTTTTTTTTGTTTTGGTTTTATTTGTTTTTAGTGACTTTAAAAATGGTAGTGATCATGGTCTTTTTTAATGGCATGTTAAGGTCATTTGTGCAGTTTGCGACACAGAGCAGCTGGTATGTATGTTGCATTTTTTTTTTTTTTTAATGAAAAGCTCTCCTGTTAATTTCTTTCATATTCTAAATTGCTTTCTTTTTATTCCAGGTTGCTCAGGTCTGTACAAATTGCGGTGTCAATATGGGGGAATATTTCTGTGGCATTTGCAAGTTTTATGACGATGAGGTAAGATACTCTCTAGTTATAGATAACAAAAGAAGGATAAACTGATGAAAGTTTACTTCTCTGTTATTGTTCATTTGCCAATGTTTTTTAGATTTGGGCCATTTCTCATCCTATGATCCTTGATTGTTTTCATCCTTCTCAATGGTAACTTTTATGAATTGCAGATTGAGAAAAAGCAGTTTCATTGTGATGATTGTGGGATCTGCAGGTTAGTGGACTTAGTTTGAAGCCTGCCATGTTTTCTCCTGATTCTGTGTTAATGTTATGCTAATTTTGACATTTCAAATGTTGATGTGACCTAATTGATGGTATTGAAAACAGAGTTGGTGATCGTGAGAACTACTTTCACTGCAAGAAGTGTGGTATGTTCTATTGTTCATGCCATCTGTGCTATCTATTCTGTAATCCTAACTAAATTTATTCCTTTTTTTCTTCTTCTTTTTTGTTCTCTAGTTCAATGGAAGTCAGGAACCCTCCCCCTCCTTCCTTCTCTCTGTGACAGCCAGTATGAGTGCCTTTTGTGTGTTTGCAATATTCCTTTTTTTTCCTCAAATAAATCAGTCAGCTAACATTGCTCAACATTTAAACACATTTCACATTTAACCAATGCTTGGAAATATTCTAATTGGTTCTGTGGGTTGAACAACTGGATATGTCCTAATCATGGAATTGGTTTGCTTCAAGTATTTATGTTGAAAAGATGATCAGTTATGGGAACTATTAATATCTGGGGCTTTTTCTGTTTTCTGTTTTCATCCTTTTTTCTCTCTATTCTCATTTCCAGAGCTGGTATTCTTAACCAGATTTAGAATAGGCAGTCATGTTTCAGCAATTTATTTCTCACAACTCTAGCTACGATGCATCTTTTTCGTTTTTTCTTCCAACATTTCTCTTCAGCTGTAATATTGTTGTGGTGCAAGTTACCCTTATTGGGTGGTGGAATTGCTGTCGAGGGATCAGTTAAATGAGTGCCTTCCACTCCTTCCTTTTCCCCCACTAGTTGCAAATAATTTTTCAGTGACATTTTTATACTCTGCAAGCTTTCTATGTATTCTTGTCCAATTATAGTGATATGTGGCTGCACAGGGTCTTGCTATGCAATTAGTTTGCGGGACAATCATATGTGTGTGGAGAACTCCATGCGGCACCACTGTCCCATATGCTATGAGGTTTGTCTCATAATTGCTTCAACTTCACCTGGAACAGTTTTCTCATAACTTCCTTCTTTTTCTGTAGTACCTCTTTGACTCACTGAAAGGCACTGCTGTAATGAAATGTGGGCACACAATGCATGTTGAATGCTATAATGAGATGTTGCTGCGTGACAAGTAAGTGACTGTCAGACTTTATAACCTTGGTTTTGTTTTAGTTGGGTACAAATTGAACATCCATATGTTGTTCGTAAGTTAAATTAACGTCATCACCCAGGTATTGTTGTCCAATATGCTCCAAGTCAGTAATTGATATGTCCACAATATGGAAAAGGATGGACGAGGAGGTACATCTCTTTGATTCAAGCATGTTGAATCATAGTGGTTTAATTGTTTTACAGCTTTTGTTTCTAATACAAATATGCTGTAACATCTTGGCCAAACCTTTTGGTCATGTAATCATGCTCCAATTATCATTACTTAACACTGACTTTTTAAAAACTTCTGTTTTCAGATACAAGCAACAATCATGCCTGATGAGTACCGTTACAAGAAGGTGATTCAGTTCATTCCTCTTCATATCTAAATCTAACAACTTTGCCCTGTTTGTTTATTTCTTTTATGTTTTTTCACTGATACAAAGATGCCGGAAAGTAGATATGACATATAAGCAATCCCTTAGCTGACTCATTATGTTTCTGTATTGGCTATGTGACCCAAGATTGAACACACTTTCTACAAACATCATTTCTAAATTTTTGCGCACATGAAATTAATATAAACGAATGATTCAATATGTATAATATTCCTTCAGGACAAGAACTGCTTTCACTTATTCCCTTGAGTTTTGGGGGTTTAAGCATAATTTGATGTAAGGAATCTGAAAACAAAGTGTGATTTGCAGGTTTGGATTCTGTGTAATGATTGCAATGACACAACAGAAGTATACTTTCACATAGTTGGGCAGAAATGCAGCCATTGCAAATCATACAACACGCGGACAATAGCACCTCCAGTTCTTCCTCAATACTAAGATATGAAGAAGAAATAGATCTGGAAAACATTAGGCCATAAAAATCATGCACTCTATAAGCTCAAAATGGAAGGTGGAGTTTTCTTTTCTCATTTGTTTTATAAAAAATGATTCTGTATCATTGTCTTATGATTCAGATAACTGTAGAATTTGTATGCGTTCATCACAAACTTCTTACAGAATCTAAAGTTTATTCTTCTTCCAACTATTATTACAGTGAACAATTATTTGATTGTTGTACATGATATCAACACAGTAGTAATATGATTCAAAACCCTTTTCCTGTTTACATTATTGTTCCACAATTTACAGCCTACTCTATTAATTGTCCAATATGCCCTAAGTCAGTATGCTTCAATTGGAGCTTTTGTGAGATACAGGATGCCTGCGCAGCTTGCTGCGGGGCATGTAGAGATTCTGTCCCAAGCCCTCACTTTGTTTGTCACAGATGCAAAATTTTCCTGCATCAACATGTGCCATTGAATATTTATTACCACAAACAATCCAGGGTCATCCCTTTCACCCTACTCATCTTTTCAAGATCAAACCATGCTACAAAACACTTGGCAACCACTTCAACTGCAGAGCATGTGGGTTGTTTGACAGTGGCGTCTTAGCTTATTGCTGCATGGATTTTCTGATTGTTCCAAGTTGACACCCTCCATCAACTGTGGCAACTACCAGCACCTTCTTACTCTCTTTCAGGAAAGCAATTACCCTGGTCGCTGCCTTGCATGTCAAAAAGCTTAGATTTGGATGAATGTTATTGTGATTTTTGCGAGCTACCAGCCTGTTTCGGATCATCGTGAACATTTTTGTAAGACCATCATGATTCATGAACACTCTTGGCAGTTTCCCTTGGAAAGACCATCATGAACCAAAAAAGAGTTTTTAGGATCATCATGAATATTTTTGTAAACTTTAAGGACCAATCTTAACAGAAGAAAAACCGTACATGATTTTAGAAAAAAAGCGAAGGTGCACAAATAAACCGTGGACCGCCGCTCCATGCGAATCCCCCCGCTCTTCTTCGTCCTCCCTAAAACCCTGATCAGCTAGTTACTGAAACCACCGACCGAGTCAACTCACTCCGCCACCTTACTCACTCAGTTATCAGTTCAAACAATAACATGCGAATCCTTTCAAATGCTCGCAGACTCGGTAGGGTTCTAAAGCCCCCTGCAATCCTCCTCGATTCGCACCATCCATTGCTCTCCTCTTACTCCTCTCTTCAGGGTCAACACCGCCGCTATGCCTCCTCAGGTACTCCAGTTGCATCAAATTTCTTTTGTTTGGTTGCAAAGAATTATGTACGGTTGTCCCGGAAATCATTTTTTAGCTGTTTTAAGTTGTTTTTATGCCATTTTTAGTTATCCTGGAGAAATGGTTTCTGATTGATTGCTTGGTAAATGGCAATCTGTGACAATGAAAGTTATGAAATTTCTATGTTTTCTGTTTCTTTTCCTATGTTCATTACTTTGAATTATTTTTATACGGTTTACCTATTGTTTTCTTCTGTTTGTTGAGTACCTCATGAAATGGAAAGAAGATATTAATTGGACAGATAAAAAGTCTCAATCTTGTGTTTAGACTGAAAACAATTGGTGTTTTGTAGAAAAGTAAAAGAAATTAGCCAGCTTTCCAATGGTTCAATCATTAATGAATGGTTTTCTTGTATTGAGTAGTTGATTTTACAGGGATGTGTCAAGGAGGTTACTTGGATATGCCACAACATCCAATTTCTTTGATGATGTCTAGGAAATCTTTCTCGTCGGGAGCTGGAACTATCACTGGCAATCCAACAGGTTCTTTGTTTGATTGGTATTTGTTTTTTGTTGTTCTTTTAAGTTCTTGATGTTTGTTCGTAATTTTTTATGTGTATTCCAAAATGCAGAGGGTGTGAAGGAAGTCTATGATAAAATGCTTGAATCTGTGAATGTTAAACGCACAATGCCCCCAAATGCTTGGCTATGGTCATTGCTTGAGAGCTGTAAAAACCATGAGGATATTGAGCTTTTGTTTGATATTTTGAAGAACCTCCGACGATTTGTTAGTCCTAATCCCCAGCCTTTTCAGCTTTATTTATTTTTCAAAACACATTATGGCCTTGGTTTGACAGTTCCATTTAAAATGTTTGTCATTGATGGCTCTTGTTTTGGCTGCAGCGACTGTCAAATCTTCGCATTCATGAGAATTTTAATTGTAATCTTTGTCGGGAAGTGACAAAGACATGTGTTCATGTAGGGGCTCTTGATTTTGGTACGTAGATGACTTGTTCCTTTTCCCTTGTATTGTTAATTTGTTAATAATCACTCTACTGATTGCTTGTTCATATTTGAAAATGCTGTTCTAGTTATTGATTGCATGATTTCATCTCAATTCTGAAAGAGTCCATATGGTTAAAACTGCTAGTGCTGCATTTTTCGTGTTTCAATCTTTGAACACAGCAGGTTGTTCAAAATATTTCAACGTGCTAGACATAATGTGTAGCATATAGCTATATCAAAATGATTTAGTTAGAATGCTTTCACTTTTGCAGGAAAGAAAGCCTTGTGGAAGCACAATGTGTATGGACTTACTCCAACTGTTGGATCTGCCCACCATTTATTGGTATTCATGGCATTTGACTCATCTATCATTTTTTCTATCCTCTTGTGCTCTATATTTTGGTACATTAAATGCTTGCTATAATTGTGATGCAGTCATATGCTAAAGATCACAATGATGTTAATCTCATGGTGGAGGTAGTGGATCTTTTGAAAAAGAATAACTTACCACTACAACCAGGGACAGCAGATATTGTTTTCAGGTAAATTTATTTCTAGTTATTATACTGTCTGTCATGCAGCATGCTTCTGTTTTTCTTTGAAGGAAGTAAGCATGGCATATCTGGTTTGGATCCTGAAACCACTCGTTGTGTGGAGCTCTTTAACAGATAATTATTAATGCCAGATTTGTTCTAGTTGCAAATATTCTTCTTCTGCTCTAATGATTTCCTCATGTTGATACAACGTTGATTTGGTGTTGTGTTTGGATTGAACTTTTGCAGAATTTGTTATGAGACGGACAATTGGGAGTTGATCTCTAAGTATGCAAAAAGGTTTGTTATGGCTGGAGCAAAATTGCGAAAAACTTCCTTTGACACATGGATGAAATTTGCAGCCAAAAGAGGTCTATAGTCTATTAAGTTCTCAATTCTCCTATTTTTTGTTACTTCATATTTTTGTTTTGATGTTTTGTTTATTGTAACTTATTTGCAATGTTGGCTGTGGAAGGTGAGAGAGCGCCTCTCCATTGTACTGAATGAATGAATCACCTCTGACAATCCTTATGAAATAACATTTTGCTAATACTATTACTATTAATCTGTCATTCATAAAGCTCTTGTTTACAGGGGACACTGAGTCACTATGGAGAATAGAGAAATTGAGATCTGAGACAGTGAAGCAGCACAGCGTTTCTAGTGGCTTTTCATGTGCTAAAGTAATAGATCTAATATAATCTATTTTGCATTCTATACCTGAACATGAAAGTTTATTTTCTGAATACAGAATGCTTTTGTGCAGTCTGGTGAAAGAGCAGCCATTAATGGGGGAAGGATGGCCCACATCAGGGGGGCTCTCCCCTTGTCAATGGTTAGTTTTGTGCAGTCCGGACTGCACAAAACATTTCTGTTCTGAATACATAGATTTTTATCTTTATTTTGCCTCTAACCTAGGCAGTCCTCTTCATGTTTAATCCATCTCAATAAGCTTCTCTCACTGTCTTCACAGGGTTTTCTCCTAGAACGAAAGCCTCAGGATGCTGCAGGTATCATTCAATTAGTTGATCAGGTAAATCAGGTTTAATTTCATCCACCCCTGAAGTCAACATCGCTTGACCTTGGCTGGGCATCCCCATTCTCTATGAATAGGTGGTTTAATATTAATTCATCCATGCACATTTGCTTGTCACTCTTCCTCCCATTCACAAGAAACCTGAAATTAGAATGACATGATGAAAGGTTGGAAAATAGTTATGAATAGTTAATAGGAAGCAAATTCTATGGTAAGAAACCACTGAATATTTTTGCTATTTATTGAAACAGTACATCAACAGTTGTCTTTTACTTCTTGCTTGATATGGATAGTCTATTATGTCATATTTAAGCATTTGCAAGGCAGGCTGATCATATCAAGCAACATTTTTGGGGAAATGGGGAAAATTTCTTACTGAGCTTCTGTAAGACACAAGTTATGAATTCAAACTTAATGCCTATTGGTTTTGAGATGACCCAAAAAAAAAAAAAAAAAAAAAAAAAAAAAAAATACTTAAAGGTTTCAGGATGGGTACCATATAGAATAATCTATCTTGATTGTTGCCCTTATCCTTTACTTTTCCTTATTTGTTCACGTGACATGCTATCTGTTGTGTTTTGATGAATGAGTAAAAATAATGATTCAGACCTCCAAGAAATGTCATATGCATAACATGGTATGAATTTTTTAATTTTTTTCACTCTGTCATGTCTTTAAGTTAATTTTTCAATTTCTACAATCCAGACTTTACCCGATTCAAAAAAGTCAGGTATCATGGATGAACTTGAGAAACTGGTAAATGAATGGCCTTTTGAAGTTATTAAGCATCAAAGCGACGAGGATAGGAAGGTATGCTGCTTGGTGAATTGTTTTCGTTAGATATTAAACCTCATGTTTTGTTAAACCCATCCAAGAATTGAAACTCATTCTTTTGTCCCTCATTTTTTTTATCATCCATCAGGCATTGGCTGCTTCTTTAAAATCTGATATTCCTGCCATGGTTGGTCTATTGAGCTCTGGTTCAACAGTGAGAGTAAATCTGGAAGATCTTGACAAAAATGAAATTCCATGTTGAGGCAATGGAGATCGGACTACATTCTGAAGCGCTGCAGGAACTTGTTATCACAGAACTGAGCTGCTAGTGCATTGACGATTCAGAAACTGTTACCAGGAGATAATGTTCTTCAATTACTCAATTCTTACAAGAGACTTCTAAACTCGTCACTGGCATCACCAGTTTAGAACAAAATTTTTGCCAATTATTCGTTTTGGATGCAATTCAGTCTTGATAAAACTCATAATTTTACATATATACTTCCAGATACTGTTTGTTAAATGTATGTTTACATATCATGCTTATTTGTTTCAAACATTACGCAAGGAAAATCTAAAAATCTAACTAAATAGATTCTACTCAGAATCGGATCCGTTGTAAAGGCTCAAAACAGCAACCACAATATGGAAGAGGAATGCCAGGGAACCAAGCAGGGAGAATGCAACTGAAACAGCACCTTGCCTACAGAATCTATCGATAATATTGCAGACTTTGTTCCATTTCACATGGGAGTTCCCGGTGTAGGCCAAAAGGCCGACGGCTCCGGCGGCTCCACAGCTGGATAATAGCAGTGCAACCATTGCTAGATCAAAAATGGTCAATAGTAGTCCCAATCCTTTCCTCCTATCTCTGTTTGCAATCAAAAGGAGGAAGGATATTGCTGCATATGAGCTTGCTATGACATCCGTCACAAAAGAGTACCTAGCAATGAGAAATGAGGTACTTAAAGATTGGCAGTTAAATCTGCCTAAAAAGAAAGCCAAAATTATAGTAATTTATCTAAACATGTAAATTTATTATTTTTAATAAATTTTTTATTTTTTTAGTAATATTAATTAATATTCATATTGATTTTGTCTACTAAAATAAATATTTATATTTTATAATTACAATACTGCACAACAATCTCAAATTAAAGCTAACCCCACCTTTGACATGGTTTATAAAACAGTTTCTCTATCCAAAAGCATATAGAAAGTTTAATTTTAGTTTAGCCAACCATCAAGCCAAATCATTTTTTCCCCTTTTTCTAGATATTAATTTCAGCTTCTAAGAAGCAACAAATTAAAGTTTCTAGAATAGAGCTTTGCACATAGACTTTTGACTTTTGAGTAATCTTTTAATCTCCAAATATAAAGTTTCTAATTAAAAAGGAGTATTGCAAATAGATTCGAGTAA